TCGATGCATCGGATCGTCGGCTTTTGGATCGATGCATCGATACAAAACGATTATTATTTACACCCCTAACTGGGACCAGTGCAGCCGAACCAGAGGGAGCTTCTCAGATTCTACCAGAATGTGTTCCGGTCCGGTTCGGTTCGGTTCTCACCCCCCCGTGCCGTCCAGGATCTTGCTCTCCACGAAGCTGTAGATGTCCTGGAACTCCTGCTCCCTGCAGGGCAGCGACTCCGGTACCGAGGAAACGTGGAGCCTGGAGAGGAAAGGACAGCTAACTGGACCCAGACGGACCCGTCACAACAGAACCACACAGCCTGGACTGGTTCTGATCAAAATGGATCAATACCAATAAAAACATCCCAGAACTTTTCAGTTACTGAAAAGTAACTAGTGGTGAACAAGTGGTTAGAGCCTCGAATCCTGAGGTTCTGAGTTCAAGTCCCACTGACTGCCACTCTGGGTCCCTGAGCAAGACCCTTAACCCCACACGGCTCCCCGGGCGCCGCCCACTGCTCCCCAAGGGGAGGGGTTAAATGCAGAGAGGGAAATTCTCTGATTTGAGATAAATAAACTTCAATTATTATTATTATTATTATTATAATGTAGCGTCGACCAGGTTCTAAAGGTCAAAGGTCGTGTTCCAATAGGGTTTTAAATGTGGACTTTCTTCCTCTGCGGGTCCAAACCCGGGCCTGCTCTTCTCTGGACCTCAGGTTCTGACCTCTCCTGACCCGGACCCAGCAGAACCTCAGTGTAAAAATCAGCCCAGCTGTTGCTTCCAGATGTTTTTATGGATTAAAATGGAACCAAAGTCCAAAAGGTTCCGTTATGGAACTGGACCAGCTTCAGGGTTCTGACCTGGTTCTGGCCTCTTCCAGAACGTTGGCGGGTCGTCGGGTCGGCTGGGCCCGGTTGGGGATGCTGGGGGTGGCGTGGCGGGGGGTCCGCGGGCCAACCTGCAGAGACGGAACCGGGAAGGTGAGACATTTCCTACAGACCCGGTTTGGCTGTCGTCTCCATGGCAACCCTCACCTTCCTCGGAGTCTTCCTCGGTGTCCTCGCTGAGGAGCGGTTACGCTTGGAAGAAGGAGAACCAGACCCTGCTGAGGAAGAGGAGCGGTTCTTCTTCACCACCACCCCTTCATCATCTTCCTCCTCCTCCTCTTCCTCGCTGCTCTGCAGCTCCTTCTTGGACGGAACAAACTCGTCTTCCTCGTCTGGGTCGGAGCTCAGATCTTCCCGAACATCCAGGAGGTTCCTGGTGGAATAACATCAAAGCAGAAGATCAAAGCCTTCCTCCTTGGACCTGCTTGGAGGTTCTGGACCCACTAAGAACTGGAAATCTACCAAAACCAAACAGAACCAGCCTGGTTCTGGACGGGTCAACACTCACAGCTGCTGTCTGATCCGAGACGACACCTTCAGAGCCGACCTCCTCTTGGAGCTCCTCGGGGCGGCGCCGACCGGATCCGTCGGGGAATCTTGGCTCGCCTCCTGGGCTCTGAGGGACAGACGGACAGAACCAGGTGCAAACCGATTTCAGAACCGTTCTAGAACTTGGAATAAAATGGTCCATTCTAAGCATAACTGGTCAGAACCGCCTGAGAAGAGTCGTGCAGAACGTGGACCCGATAACCGGACCGGGCCCCACTAGCAGAAAGTTCTGCTTCAGTGTGACGCTGCATGTGCTCAGGCGGCCCAGGACCAGGGTACCAGAGTCCTTAAGACGGTGAGGTACCACCGGCTGTCTCGGTCCAAACCTTCCTGTTCAGGTTTTGGTTTCTCTCCACTGGAAAGGAGACGCTTTGACCCGATTGGGCCACAGAGGGGTCACGGTGCCGCTGAAGCAGCAGGACGGTGCCGTGACCCGTTGATTAGTGAGACGATGACGGCGGGTCCATTAATGTAGCAGAGATGGACCGACGCAGATTATCAGAACCCGGACAGAACCCTGCCCATGCCTACCTGCTGGTGCTGGTTCTGGACGAGGACCCAGGGCCGCGGCCCCCGTCGGTCCTCCTCAGAGGAGTGAGGCTGTGGGCGAGGGAGGCGGTCCGGGGGGGGGAGGCCAGCCTCCGGGCCAACGATCCGGTCGACTCCAGCAGCTGGTCCAGGACGTCGTCCGTTAGCGCCACCATCGGCTCTGCACCTGAGGGGACGTTTGGACCGTCTTGGCTTCCTGTCGGTGCGGCGTCGCAGAGCTGCAGCTTCTTGCGGACCCCCAGCTGGGTGCCGGTCCTCCTGGCGCTGAGGCTTTTGGACACAGACAGTTTGGTCAGAGAGTGGGCCGACTCCGCTGGCTTACCGGCGCTCGCCGCGGTTCTGCTGAGGTGGACATCACCAGACGCCGCCCTACGCAGGACTGCAGGGTCTGGCGTGGGGAGCGCACGGCGCCCCGGGCCCCTGGAGGTGGGGGTAGCGGCGTGGGCAGGGCCCGGGGCGCCCAGGGGCAGGGAGGGCTGAGGAGGACGAGGAGGCGCAGACTCAAACAGAGACGGGTCCAAGGGCCTGAAGGTCCTGGAGTCCCAGCAGAACTTCACGTAGAGCGGGCCGCCGTCCTCTGGGGCGGGGAAGGGAGCATCGGCGTCCAGGTGTCGTACCTGCAGAGGAAGGGGGGGGCTTCAGTAGGTGGGGGGCCTTGACTAAAGATGGACGGTTGGCCCCAGCATCGGTCACGTCTGCTTTGTTAATAAAGGATGATTCTGTGTCAGGTTCTGATGGAGGCTCACCTCTACGGGTCTGAGGATGGACTCTACGTCCACCTCGTCATCACAGCTGCGGCCGTCATAGAAGAAGATCTCCTGGGGGTGCGGTTCTCTGCCCAGCAGCTTCAGTTTGCTCGGAGGCACTTCAGAAACCCGGACGAACCACTGAACTGTGGCCTTCTTCTGCCGCCCGGACTCTGGAACAGAAGAAGGTTCTCAGGTCAGCCACTGGTTCTGATCCAGATCTGTGTTTTCAGATGTAACCCGCTGCAGGAACATTTTCTGTCTCAGACCGACCGTCTTCAAACAGCCGCTCCACCCGGGCCACAAACGGGTTGTCATGGTCTTCTCCTTCGATCAGGATGTGCTGCCCGCTGCTGACGGCGGTCTGAGGAACACCCTCCCCTCCGATGGCCAGCGACCTGGAAACATTCCTCATGTTAGACCCAAACCCACAGGGGGCGCTGCTGACACCCTCTGTGTATCTATAGAACAGGGAAAGTTGAGTGGAGGGAAAAAGGTCCAGATGCTTTGCTCCAATCTGTATGAATGAACTGGATAATTTCCATGTCTATAATTTAGGGATGGGACTGAATAACTAACATTCAACACATACACCCCGACATAGAATGTAGTGTCTAGACACTTCGAAGGGGCGGGGCTTGTCAGATTTCTAGATTTTACATTAGATACTTAGACCAGGACTGAACACTGAGTTAAATCTCTGCTGCAGCAGAGATGCTGATTCATCTCCTGAACTTTCTAACCCTCCTAATGTGGCGGTTATCCTTCCACTAAACCTTCAGCCTCTACCTGGGTGGCTGTTTGTGAGCCATGATGTCTGCGTCACTAAAACTTTATCACCTCGCTGGGAGATTTATATCAATCATATCAATATCCTGTTATACAATTAAATTTGTTTCCAAACTCAAATCTAACCTGATATCTTCTGCTTTCTGATTCCTTTTGCAGGAAATCAACAATGTTTCATTTTCATTTTACTAAGTTTCCTAATTTTCTTGTTTCTCTGAATCAAATATTATATCAAACAGAACGTACAACTAGCTCCACCATATTTATTCTGTAAAGTGTTTGTTATATTTTAATGTCTGACGGATGCAAACTGACTAATGATGAACTAGAATCTGAACAAATGACAGATTTAATGGTTTTATTTCTTCCACCCAGTGAACTGCTAAAGGCATTTCTCCTGTTTAAACTCCGTCACTAATCTAGGGGGGCCCCAGAGCCCCGCATCTCGCTTCTGAGCTGAGCTGAGTAAAATATGCAGTACTGGGATTCACCAGATGGTGGCAGGAAAGCAGCCTGTAGCATTTCTGTGCAGAAGAAGAAGTTGTCCCCACTAGCTGTTGCTAAACTGACTGGGCGTTTCTCAATTCACGAGAACGCGAGTACGTACTCTCGTCCTCATGAAGTCCTTTCTTGGCGAGAACGCAGGAAGATCGGACTTGACGAGAACGCGAGCACACAAGCAAGTATGTGTATTGGAAAAGAAGCGTACTCGTGACGTCATCACATGCAACGTTCTTTAGCATTTCTTTAACAGTCAAAACTATTTATTCAAAACTATTTATTCCCTACACAAAACATTTTCAAAACAATATTTTTAATTTCTAAAGTTTAAAAAACATTTAAAAAAATGACCGAACCGCAAAAAACCGCCATCAGAACGAGCGGTAGTTCACACATAACTAGACCGAGAGAAGTGCACTACAGACGGGGTAAATTTAGCCCTGGCTGCGGTTACCCTCGGAGGTCTGCTGGTCACTCTGGTCCGCTCAACGTCGGACTTTTTTTTTTTAATTTCGCACTAACTCTGTAAACAGGCCACCCAGGGAGGCTTCAATGTATAATGTTATCGCCTCAAACGATTTCAAAACGTACTTTTGAAGAACAACAGCAGCAGAAAAGGGAATGTTTAACTTACCACTGTGAGCGCTGTCTGGAATCAAGCTGCGGCCGCGGGGCATTCTGGGGAAGCGGTCAGTCTGAAGAACGCAAAAGTTTGCTCTGATGCATGCTCGATAAAGAGGGCGGGGCCAGAACAACATCCGGGGATTTGGTGCGTTCTCGAGAATTGGAACTCGGGCTGAGGCTGATGACGTGTCACGAGTACACGAGCACACAAGAACGCTCAAGAACGCATATTGAGAAACGCCCACTGATGTTCCAGGGATGTGAAGCTCTGACTGACTTCCAGACCTTCTTGGTCCCGGTGTTCCATGGAATTCTGTTCCCTCTGAGTTTGGAGGCGCATTGAAGTCAGAGAGGCGGCCATGATGGATGGAACCATTTTCACTGCACTGCTGATCGATTACTGGCTAAAATCAGCTCCTATAATCATCTCACTGTTTAACATCCAGTTTAATCAGCAGCTGTTGTTTACTAAACTGTAAAATAAATAAATAAATAAACAAGGTCCTTTTAAAGCTGTTTTGTGTTTTAAACGCCAAGAGAATCGTTCTTTTTCCAACTTTTGTCACTTAAGCCTGAAAAATAAAATTCAGTCACCAAACAGTTTTCCAACTCGTAGTATTTCTCATTTTTGATTGAGAATATAAGAGGATGGAAACTGACTGATAACAGGACATAAAAACTAAGATTTCCTGAATAGATGAGAGTTCAGACTTTCTGCTAAATCCTGTTCTAATGTAAAATATGACAGATTACTGGATTAAGGACATTTCTAGTATATAACATGATATCAACAACAATTTGAGAATTGAGTTGCTCTTTATTTCTCAAAGATATTGGAGGAGAGGAGAGAATGGAGATTTTAGCTGCCTGAAATGATCCGTTCCTCCTCCACAACATGAGAAGAAATTAATTCACCTGCAAGTTTTTAACTGTGTTTATTTCTCTCTTCATCAACAACAAACTCTGTGGATTTGGTGACATTTGATCATTATTTGCCAGAGTTATTAGAGGGAAATCAAATATTTTAGCCACCTGATATAATCCAATCCTCCTTTGATGATCTTTATGAAATATATTTCCTGTTTAAATTTTTCTACAACAATTTACAAATATTCCCAAAAAAAAAGGTCAAACCAAAACCAGTGGACTTGTTTTCCCAGTTTGAAATGTTTCTCTTTCCATCCAGAAATGTCTGCAGCAATGCTACCAAAGACATTTGGAATTGAAAATTAAAACACATTAAATAAAAGATCATCAAACCAACAGTCAGATTTATTTCAACTATTTTGGATTTCAAAATATTAAATAAAAATGTTTCAAACATAATATAGAAAAATAATGACGATTTCAAAATTAACAAGATTTTTTTTCCCCCTCGGTATGGGGGGGGGTTTATATATTAAGTACTGTATATTAAATATTTAATTTCCTTCTCATAACTTTAGCAAATATTGATCAAATGTCACCAAATCCTCAGAGTTGTTGTTGAAGAGAAGAATAAACACAGTTAAAGATTTGCAGGTGAATTAATTCTTCCCATAAAATGGAGGGATTGTTTATATCCTAGAAATGTCCTTAATCCAGTAATCTGTCATATTTGACATTAGAAAAGGATTTAGCAGAGAGTCTAAACTCTCATCTTCACCCTCAGGGCCCCTGATCTCGGATCCTAGCACCGCCCCTGTGAAGGACCATCCAGCGCGCGCAGCGGAGTTTCTCACCGGAACTCCAGAGTCTTCAGCTTCCGGTTGAAGCCCACAGCTTCGCCCCTCCATTCGTAGGTCCGTCTGACCCTCAGTCTGGTTAAATACTTCATCCTGATCTGATCACAGATGCGGACCTGCTCTCCACGACGCAGCCACCATCAACCAGCCGCAGGAAGTGACGTCACCTAAAGACTGCAGTCCGCGGGAAAACCATCAGCTCCACTCCGCTCAGCAGCGCCTCCTGTGGCTGCAGTTGGTAAAAGCAGAGCAGTGATAGAGTTCATGGAGGAGAGCAGAAGCGACCTTCTCATTGGCTGCTGCTCCTCAGAGGGCGGAGCTTTTTTTTTCATCCAACGTCTTTATATAACCGGTTCTGCTGGTGGGAGAACCAGTATTATTATCATATTCTTATCCACCTTCTTTCAAAGGATGAAACTTTAGAGTCAGAAATGATCAATCTCTTTTAATATTGTAATAATGTTGAGCTCAGAATGTGGAAGATGGATCCAGCACGGTCATTAAATGCAACAGGAGACCATGGGAATCATTTGTGGAGTTGTTGGGGCTTCGATGTAATCTGTGAATTAATCTTAAACTGAATAAATCTGCTACCAATTTCATTACACATAGTTGTAATATTATGCAGAAATGATTCGTCTAGAGAAATGCCCAAAGCCAAATCCTCAGCCCAGAGTTTTTTTAATTGGATCAATCAACTGATTAAGTAGTAATTTAAAAATGTTAGAGTCCCTTTAGTACTAATATGTGATTTATGGTCCTCAATCCATGTATATTACATGTTCATTATCAATTTAGCAAGTTTGGCACATCAGTATTATTCTGCTCCATTAACACATTCATTTTATTGTGATTGATATATATAATATGATATTTTACATTATTTATAGACTTCATTGACTTCAGACCTACTATGCAATGTGATGGGCCTTTATTTTATCATAAATAACAGTAACCTAGTGATGCTATAAAACAGCCAGTGTGTATCAAAGTCAAGAATTTATCTTTAT